CGTGGTGCTGGCCACCCACCCCCTCGTGTACCGTTCCACGGCCTTCATAGGTGCTCGCTAACAGCACTTGCCCCTACAGTCTGTTAAGGCTACACGGGGGATCTTTATCTTTGTATGTGGGAAGTTCGCATCGCGAGCTCTCCACTTCCCCGGGCTCCCAATTGCCGCCCCCCTGTAACCACGGCCAACTTTGCCCGATGGTCATGCGTGTCGGGAGGGGGGGTGGGGAGTCCACAACATTTTTAGCGGATTAGCGAGCAAAAAAAAATAACCTAGCGCATGAGACCGGGGGGGGGGGGGGGGTGGACACGGACCCCCCCCCCCCCCCCCCCCCCCCATCTCTTATTATAAATTCGATTACATTATTCCACCGGGTCGCTCGGAAGAGAGCTGCCGCTCGCCGCTGCCGTGTGAACCAAGTAGAATAATTTGCAGGTAATATCGCGGCGTTAGGATGTTTGGCTCGGTTAAAATGGTGTGCGCGGTGTGTGTGTGTGTGCGTGGTGTATGTGTGGTGTGTGTGTGCGTGGTGTATGTGTGGTGTGTGTGTGCACGGTGTGTGTGTGGTGTGTGTGTGGTGTGTGTGTGCACGGTGTGTGTGTGTGCACGGTGTGTGTGTGTGGTGTGTGTGTGCACGGCGTGGTGTATGTGTGGTGTGTGTGGTGTGTGTGCACGGTGTGCACGGTGTGTGTGTGTGGTGTGTGTGTGCACGGTGTGTGTGTGTTTCTAATCTGTGGGACGAAACCATAAAACCTGGCGGAGACCAATCGCAGAACAGGGGTAGAAACACAAACTCCACTCACTCTGTAGCACAGGGGGAGATCATACAAACTCCACTCACTCAAGCACACTTTACTGAACAGGAGGATATCATACAACTCCACTCACTCTACTGAACAGGGGGAGATCATACAAACTCCACTCACTCACTCTGTAGCACAGGGGGAGATCACACAAACTCCACTCACTCTGTAGAACAGGGGGAGATCACACAAACTCCACTCACTCCGTAGAACAGGGGGAGATCATACAGACTCCACTCACTCACTCTGTAGAACAGGGGGAGATCATACAAACTACACTCACTCTGTAGAACAGGGGGAGATCACACAAACTCCACTCACTCTGTAGAACAGGGGGGAGATCACACAAACTCCACTCGCTCTGTAGAACAGGGGGAGATCACACAAACTCCACTCACTCTGTAGAACAGTGGGAGATCACACAAACTTCACTCACTCACTCTACTGAACAGGGGGAGATCACACAAACTCCACTCACTCTGTAGAACAGGGGGAGATCACACAAACTCCACTCACTCACTCTGTAGAACAGGGGGAGATCACACAAACTCCACTCACTCTGTAGAACAGGGGGAGATCACACAAACTCCACTCACTCACTCTGTAGAACAGGGGGAGATCACACAAACTCCACTCACTCACTCTGTAGAACAGGGGGAGATCATTCAAACTCCACTCACTCAATCTGTAGAACAGGGGGAGATCACACAAACTCCACTCACTCAATCTGTAGAACAGGGGGAGATCATTCAAACTCCACTCACTCAATCTGTAGAACAGGGGGAGATCACACAAACTCCACTCACTCTGTAGAACAGGGGGAGATCACACAAACTCCACTCATTCTTTAGAACAGGGGGAGATCACACAAACTCCACTCACTCTGTAGAACAGGGGGAGATCATACAAACTCCACTCACTCTGTAGAACAGGGGGAGATCACACAAACTCCACTCACTCTCACTCTGTAGAACAGGGGGAGATCACACAAACTCCACTCACTCACTCTGTAGAACAGGGGGAGATCATACAAACTCCACTCACTCTGTAGAACAGGGGGAGATCACACAAACTCCACTCACTCACTCTGTAGAACAGGGGGAGATCACACAAACTCCACTCACTCTGTAGAACAGAGGGAGATCATACAAACTCCACTCACTCACTCTGTAGAACAGGGGGAGATCATACAAACTCCACTCACTCACTCTCTAGAACAGGGGGAGATCATACAAACTCCACTCGCTCACTCTGTAGAACAGGGGGACATCATACAAACTCCACTCACTCTGTAGAACAGGGTGAGATCACACAAACTCCACTCACTTTGTAGAACAGGGGGAGATCACACAAACTCCACTCACTCACTCTGTAGAACAGGGGGACATCATACAAACTCCACTCGCTCTGTAGAACAGGGGAAGATCACACAAACTCCACTCACTTTGTAGAACAGGGGGAGATCACACAGACTCCACTCTCTCTGTAGAACAGGGGGAGATCACACAAACTCCACTCACTCTGTAGAACAGGGGGAGAACACACAAACTCCACTCGCTCACTCTGTAGAACAGGGGGACATCATACAAACTCCACTCGCTCTGTGGAACAGGGGAAGATCACACAGACTCCACTCTCTCTGTAGAACAGGGGGAGATCACACAAACTCCACTCGCTCTGTAGAACAGGGGGAGATCACACAAACTCCACTCTCTCTGTAGAACAGGGGGAGAACACACAAACTCCACTCACTCTGTAGAACAGGGGGAGATCACACAAACTCCACTCACTCTGTAGAACAGGGGGAGATCACACAAACTCCACTCACTCTGTAGAACAGGGGGAGATCACACAAACTCCACTCACTCTGTAGAACAGCGGGAGATCACACAAACTCCACTCGCTCACGCACACACTCTCCATAACTAAACACAGAAAAGTTCCCTAGGATTGAGAATCAAACCCAGGGCCCTTGTAGCTGCTATCCGCGTCGCCACCACCGCCGCTGTGCTGCCACTCCACTGCCCATGTTATTGATTTACAACCACGAGGCGTTGGCTGCCCCCTTCTCTTCCTTCCATGACCACTTTTACGGCTCCGGCAAGGTGGGGGATTGGCGGGGGGCGGGGGGCGCTGGCGCTGTGACGTGTTCGGACATCTTCTTGGTTCTTTCGGTAAAGTCGTCACGTAGAAGGGAAATAATAAAATGATAAAAATAAAACATGATAAAATAATTCTCACGACGTTTCGGCCGCAACGCAAGCAGCCGTCCTCAGGTGAAGAACAGGTCTGTCGGGAAGACAGCGTCTGAATGAAACCACCACCAGGCTTGGCAGCGTATATTTAAGCTGCTGGGTTGGAGGTCATTCACGGATCGCGTTTCCGCAAGTTGTCCCTCTCCCCTCTGCGTTCTCTTCTTTTCCGGATCGGCCTTTGCACACTCCGATCCATCTTCATCTCTCCCACACCCCACACACCTCACACCTCCCCGGAGGTTACCAAGTGGCAATGTGACGATGGGGGGGGAGGGAATTCCCAACCCCACCCGGCCTCCTCATAGCAGAGGTCGCAACCCGGTACCCGGCTACCCGTACCCGGCCGGGTACGGGTACGGGTAGCCGTTTGCGACCCTGGTGCGGCCGGGTACGGGTAAGGAATCAATGCTCTGTGTGTGCGGTGTGTCTGTTTGCTCTGGGCGTGCGGTGTGCGTGCGGTGTGCGTGCGTGTGGGGCGTCGGTATGCTCTGTGTGTGTGTGTGCAGTGTGTGTGTGTGTGCGTGCAGTGTTTCGGTATGCTTAGGTGTGTGTGCGGTGTGTGTGCGTGCGTGTGCGTGTGTGCGGTGTGTCTGTTTGCTCTGGGTGTGCGGCGTGCGTGCGGTGTGTGTGTGCGGTGTGTCGGTATGCTCTGTGTGTTGGTGTGTGTGTGTGCAGTGTGTGTGTGTGTGTGTGCGGTGTTTCGGTATGCTTAGGTGTGTGTGCGTGCGTGCGGTGTGTCAGTATGCTCTGTGTGTGCGTTGTCCGTGTGCCCGGCGCGCCTTCCGAAACCACACATCTACAGCATCTCGCACGACCTCTCCCTCCGCATCTCACACCCCCAATGCTTCGACGCGGTTTACGCTAATCTGAAAGGGGGGGGGGGCGGGCGAACGAATCGTCGTCCTCTGGGTGCAAGGCATGAATATAAATAAACGACATGGTTGCTCCAGTACAAAATGAGACACCCCGCCCCCCCCCCCCCCCACCGCCGGTTGTATTACTGCGGGGCATGCTAACCTGTAACATCCTACGCTTCGCCGTTGTTACCGGACGTTCTTCAAAATCTCGGGGGGGCGCGGAGTAGGGGGGGCCCCCCTAATTGGGTATTGTGCGCACGCCCGCCCGCAATCGTAGCAATCGTCAACGATGCCCCCGACCGCTGCTGCAGGTTTCGACTTTAAAGCTTCTTTCGTGACTGCAGGGATTCATCTTCTTGGTTCTTTCGGTAAAGTCGTCACGTAGAAGGGAAGTAATGAAATAATAAAAATAAAACATAATAAAATAAAATTCTCACGACGTTTCGGCCACAACGCAAGCAGCCGTCCTCAGGTGAAGAACAGGTCTGTCGAGAAGACAGAGTCTGAATGACAACCCCAGTAAAAAAGACGCTCTAAGCCTGGGGTTGTCATTCAGACGCTGTCTTCTCGACAGACCTGTTCTTCACCCGAGGACGGCTGCTTGCGTTGTGGCCGAAACGTCGTGAGAATTGTATTTTATTATGTTTTATTTTTATTATTTCATTACTTCCCTTCTACGTGACGACTTTACCGAAAGAACCAAGAAGACGCTGCTGCAGGTTCGGGTTCCGTGCCACGCGGACGGGGGCAACCCCCAGCCTCACGGCGCGAACGCACAAATTATTCCAGTTCGAATTTCTTGTCGTTATACAGTGGGGGGGCTGGTTGTGTTGGGGGGGAGGGTGGGGAACGAAAAAGAATCGCCTGCCTCGCGTAATTTCACGCACGCTTCAAACGCGCAAGCTTCTCGCCTTACCCCCCCCCCCCACCTCCCACATCTCTTAAGCCGTCGCTGTGGGGGGCTGCTCAGTGGGGGGGCGGTTACGATGGCTCTCTTCGCCGGCGAAGAAGAAGGGGAGGGGGGGGTGGGGAGCGACGTTGGCTGACGCGGGGGGGTGGTGGCGTGTGCGTGCGCGTGCCTGCAGCTGTTCACGGATGGCATCACGAACAAGCTGGTGGGCTGCTCGCGAGGGGACAGCCGGGAGGACGTGGTGCTGATCCGCGTGTACGGCAACATGACCGAGCTGTTTGTCGACAGGGACAACGAGCTGAAGAGCTTTCAAGTGAGAGACGCCCCCCCCCTCGCCGCCAGGCGTGGCCACCGCCGCCACCACCATCGCCACCGCCACCACTGCCACCACCACTGCCACCACCACTGCCACCGCCACCACTGCCACCGCCACCACTGCCACCACTGCCACCACTGCCACCACTGCCACCACTGCCGCCACTGCCGCCACTGCCACCACCGCCACCACTGCCACCACTGCCCGCCACCACCGCCACCACTGCCACCACTGCCACCACTGCCACCACCGCCACCACTGCCACCACTGCCACCACTGCCACCACCGCCACCACCGCCACCACCGCCACCACTGCACCTCCACTCCAGAAATACAAAATGGGAATGTTTCATCATGGGACCTCCTTTGCCAGTACCAAAATATACTAATAGGGTTGAAGCTTTCGTGACTGCAAGGATTCATATTCTTAGGCTTTTTTGGTAAAGTCACCAGGTAGGTAAAAAATTTAAATTAATAAAAGTGAAATAAAATAAAAAATCACGACGTTTCGGAGGCAACACAAGCTTCCGTCTTCAGGAGGAACCGTCACACCAGAGTAATGAGAGCTCGGGGTGAGCAGCTACATCTTGGGACCTCCTTTGCCAGTACCAAAATATACTGATAGGGTTTTTCCCCTTTTTTCTGGCAACAAAACTGACACCTTTTTCAAGGATTCATGCTTACATTGACCACAATACTTGCAGTCAAATGCCAACAAAAAAACAATACTCTGATAATTTATGCATTTTCTTTGCGTGTTGCGCGCTGGCAGTCCGTGCAGAACGGTGGTTGGTTCTTTACTCATTTTCCGAGGGAGAGGGGGGCGAGGCCCCCCACTTCCACCGATAAGACGACATCGGTGTGACCAGCAGCACCGATGATGATGATGGGGGTGGTGTCTTTCACTCTTTGTTTACTGTCGGGGGGGGGGGGGGGCTGCACTAAAGGCCACTGCGGGGGACCTTGCAACGAAGAACACCGGGGTTTTAGAATGTGCTCAAGCTGTGAGCGTGGCACGCGTGGTTTTAATAAAGTTTTTAAATAAGTTGAGAAGAATGCACAGCGCTAGCAAGCCCCCGCCGGTCATGCGTTCAATCCCCGGTTGGGAGATTGACTTCGGCCCATCATCCCCGTCCACCTCGGGTGTGGATAAACTAGGTACTACTTCTTTCGGTAAAGTCACGTAGAAGGGAAATAATAAAAGAATAAAAATTCAACATAACAAAATAATTCTCACGACGTTGTCTTTCCGACAGACTTGTTCTTCACCTGAGGACGGCTGCTTGCGTTGTGGCCGAAATGTCGTGAGAATTGTATTTTATTATGTTTTATTTGTATTCTTTTATTATTTCCCTTCTACGTGACTTTACCGAAAGACCCAAGAAGATGAATATCTGCAGTCACAAAAGCTTTAAATCGAAATTTTATTATGTTTTTTTATTATTTTATTATTTCCCTTCTACGTGCCTATTACCGAAAGAACCAAGAAGATGCTTGGTTCTTTCTTTTTTTTAGTAACTCGAAGCAAACGGCTGAGCAGCCCAACGGGAGAGGTTCCTGCGCGGACGCTGCGAAAAGGTGTCGTGCAACGGGTTTAGGGGCTGGGAGTTGTTGCGTTTTTTTTCTTGGATCGACATTCGAAAGGGCAGCAGCAGCAGCTAAAGCAGCAGCAGCAGCAGCTACAGCAGCAGCAGCAGCTGCAGCAGCAGCAGCAGCAGCTGCAGCAGCAGCAGCAGCAGCAGCTGCTGCAGCAGCAGCAGCAGCCGCAGCTGCAGCAGCTGCAGCAGCAGCAGCAAGCGGTCCTCGCCGTTCAAACTCTCGGCGATTGCGACACGAGGAGAGGGGAGGGTGCCGTGCAAATTCTCCCGGTTTAATTCGAAAGGCCGTGGGGTCGGTTTGGCGGCAGACAGACAATTCCCCGCACAAACTCGTCCGGATAATCTCGATTTGAAGCTTTCGTGACTGCAGGAATCCACACTCTTTGGTTCTTTCGGTAAAGTCACGTGGTTAGAAAATCAAATAAATCGCGACGTTTCGGGCGCGACATCAGGTGGATACTACACTATGAGATCTCTTTGCCACTGGTAACAGAGATCTCATAGTGTAAATGCTTACCCCGAGCTCTCAATACTCTGATATTGCACTGTGTTTGAGTTGTACGCCTTCTGGTGTCATCTGGTCCAACACCAATGGGGACTAGGCTCTAAAGAAAGCCGTCTCGGGTGTGGACCAATCAACTTCAAGGACAGTGCATATTATTATCATTATCAGAGTTGTTTCTTTTTGTTTGCTTTTTTTTACTACTTGTGTTGTGGTTATTGCAAACATGATGCCTTGTATAAAGGTGTCAGTTTTGTACCAGTTTAAAAGGGTAAAAACCTACTATTATATCAGGTGGATAGTTTTGTGGCCCTATAACCTGTCCCCCCTCCGCAACCTAGCGGTCGATTTTTATTTTTTCCTTAACATCGTCCGTGAAAGGGTTTTGCGTGAACGGTGATAATATTATTTTAGTCTGTTTAACACGAATGCTTTCGTGAACCAAATATCAGCCGTGACGTAGGTGTTTTGGGTTTGATCGCGTGAATATAAATGTGACGAACCTTGCTTAATCGGCCGTGTCGGGTGTTGGCCGGTTTTAACGACGCATTTATATTCACGCAATCAAACCCCAAAAAAAACCCATGTTATGGATTATTATTTTTTTAGTCTGATGATTTTTTAAATGGAGAACCGAGAGAGAGAGAGAGACGTCTAACTTCGTTGTTTGGCTTTTGCGTCGTTGCCATGCTTCTCTGCGCGTCGTTGATTTTCACGCTCGGATGTCGCCGCCGTGAGTTGGCCGGGGCCTGCTGCCACCAGTCTCTTCTGACTGTGGGCCCTCCCTCCCTCCCGGCCACCCACACGCCTGCCTACCTGTCTACCTGCCCACCCACCTGCCCACCCACTCACCTGCCTACCCGCCCACCCACCTGCCCACCTGCCCACCCACCCACCTGCCCACCTGCCCACCTGTCTACCTACCCACCTACCTGCCTACCTGCCCACCTGTCTACCTACCCACCCACCCACCTACCTGCCCACCCACCTACCTGCCTACCTGCCCACCTGTCTACCTGCCCACCCACCTACCAACCTGCCTACCTGCCCACCTGCCTACCTGCCCACCTGTCTACCTACCCACCTACCTGCCTACCTGCCCACCTGTCTACCTACCCACCCACCTACCTGCCTGCCTGCCCACCCACCCACCTGCCTACCTGCCCACCTGTCTACCTACCCACCTACCTGCCTACCTGCCCACCTGTCTACCTACCCACCCACCTACCTGCCTACCTGCCCACCTGTCTACCTACCCACCCACCCGCCCACCTGCCTACCTGCCCACCTGTCTACCTGCCCACCCACCTGCCCACCCACCTGTCTACCTGCCCACCCACCTGCCTACCTGCCCACCCACCTGCCTACCTACCTGTCTACCTGCCCACCCACCTGCCTACCTGCCCACCCACCTGCCTACCTACCTGTCTACCTGCCCACCCACCTGCCCACCCACTCACCTGCCTACCTGCCCACCCACCTGTCTACCTGCCCACCCACCTGCCTACCTGCCCACCCACCTGCCTACCTACCTGTCTACCTGCCCACCCACCTGCCCACCCACTCACCTGCCTACCTGCCCACCCACCTGCCTACCTGCCCACCGACCTGCCTACCCACCCACCTGCCTACCTACCCACCCACCTGCCTACCTGCCCACCCACCTGCCTACCCACCTGCCTACCTGCCCACCCACTCACCCGCCTACCTGCCCACCCACCCACCTGCCTACCCGCCCATCCACCTGCCTACCTGCCCACCCACCTGCCTACCTGCCCACCCACCTGCCTACCTGCCCACCCACCTGCCTACCCACCCGCCTACCTGCCCACCCACCTGCCTACCCACCCACCTGCCTACCTACCCACCCACCTGCCTACCTGCCCACCCACCTGCCTACCCACCTGCCTACCTGCCCACCCACTCACCCGCCTACCTGCCCACCCACCCACCTGCCTACCCGCCCATCCACCTGCCTACCTGCCCACCCACCTGCCTACCTGCCCACCCACCTGCCTACCCACCCGCCTACCTGCCCACCCACTCACCCACCTACCTGCCCACCCACCCACCTGCCTACCTGCCCACCTGTCTACCTACCCACCCACCTGCCTACCTGCCCACCTGTCTGCCCACCCGCCCACCTGTCTGCCCACCCACCCACCTGCCCACCCACCCACCTGCCTACCTGCCCACCCACCCCCCTGCCTACCTGCCTACCTGCCCACCCACCACCCACCTGCCTACCTGCCCACCCACCCACCTGCCTACCTGCCCACCCACCCACCTGCCTACTGCCCGCCCACCTGCCTACCTGCCCACCCACCCACCTGCCCACCCACCCACCTGCCCACCCACCCACCTACCTGCCTACCTGCCCGCCCACCTGCCTGCCTGCCCACCCACCCACCCACCTGCCTACCCACCCACCCACCTGCCTACCCGCTCGCCCACCCACCCACCCTGCTTGCCGGTGATTAGCTTTCCCCGCCTCGCGAAATGACACCCCGGGGAGTCGATCCGACCCTGTTTCTGCCGCTGACTCTGCTGCTGCCGCCGCTGCTGCGGTGACGTGTCCCCTCGCCGCAGGTGCTGCAGGCCTACGGCTGCGCACCCAGCCTCTACTGCACCTTCCTCAACGGCCTCTGCTACGAGTTCATGCACGGCCACGTTCTCGACACGGCGCTCGTTCGACAGCCGGACATCTTCAGGTGACTTGCGCGGAGTAAACACTCGGCCGCCGCCGCTGCTTCTCTTTCACTCCTTTTATAGGAGGAACGGGCGAGATACACTTCTGAACAGATAATGGAGTGGATGACATATTCTTAGGTTTTTTTGGTAAAGTCACCAGGTAGGTAAAAAATTTAAATTAATAAAAGTAAAATAAAAATAAAATAAAAATCACGACGTTTCGGAGGCAACACAAGCTTCCGTCTTCAGGTGGAACTGTCACAGCACGACAGCTGTATCAAGTAAAGAGAAATTCTAAGATTATAGATTTGAAGCTTTCGTGACTGCAAGGATTCATATTCTTAGGTTTTTTCGGTAAAGTCACGTAGGTAAAAAAATTATAATTAATAAAAGTAAAATAAAAATAAAATTTAAATCACGACAGCTGTATCAAGTGAGAGCACTCACTTGATACAGCTGTCGTGCTGTGACTGTTCCACCTGAAGACGGAAGCTTGTGTGCCTCCGAAACGTCGTGATTTTTATTTTATTTTTATTTAACTTTTATTAATTTAAATTTTTGACCTACGTGACTTTACCGAAAAAACCTAAGAATATGAATCTTTGCAGTCGCGAAAGCTTCAAATCTAGAATGAGTGGATGACGACATCTGAAATTACAGCTTAAATCTGCTGCTATCAATCCGTACGGAGGAAGAATAAGATGGAGAGCGAGCGAGCGGGTCCGCTGCCAAATAAGCGTCTGGGCAGTTCAGACGTTGAATGTGGGAACCAGGTCCCACAAGTTGAGCTTGCGTTGAAACCAATGCTACTGAAGTTGTGTGCACTCTCAGACGGAAGGCCTGCTTTTGACTTATCGGCTCTGCTTCTTGCACACCCCCCCTCCCCCCCGTTAACTGACCGAGCATGGATTCTATCGCAAGCTGATAAAATCACGCTTCGTAATTGATATTTGGGTCGTAAAACTAAAACGACAAAAAAATGCCGAACTACTTTTTGTGATTTAGTCGGATACGTATGGTGACAAATAATTTCAACGCGCATCCGTAAAGGCAGATCACAAAGTGGTCAGGACAAGTAGATACGAAATATTTCTTTTAAATCTTCTATTTTTATTTTACCCGGTATAAGGCCCAATGAGCTTGTGTGGCCACGAATGAATAGTTAGTCGAAGTGGATTATTACGTGGAAATCTACAGCAGCCAAATGCTCTTAAGCGCATGTTTCTAAATGCGGAGGGGGACAAAGCTGAAGACCCGGCAACAAGTCCATGCAGCCACGGGGATAGAAAGAGAACATTAAAACTCCAATATACAAGCGTCGGGATCGAACCCACGACCACCTGTATACCAGGCAAGGTAGTTAACATCTCGCCAGCATCTGACTTGGAACCTTCAACCACATAATTTCTATAGTTTCGGCTCTGTCACCGGCGAATTAAAGCACCATTCTCACCGCGACATTTACCAAAGAGTCAAAGTGATTTCCGGCTCTTTCCTGATCACTGGAATCAACTCGGGTCGCCAGTGAAGACTACGTGAACCGGTCCTGGGCCTCCCCTAGGTCGACTCCACCTCAAATGAGTACCTGGTGCGGTGCATAAACATCGCCACTGGGGAGACAAAGGCGGCCGGGCGTGGTGCTGGCCACCCACCCCCTCGTGTGCCGTGCCGGCCTTCATAGGTGCTGCTACTCGCTAACAGCACTTGCCCCTACAGTCTGTTACAGCCACACGGGAGATCTTTGTTTTTGTGTCTTTTTAAAAGTCGTTGATTTCTTGCTCAAGTGACAATTTGAGGCGTTGGTGCCCAACTCGTGCTTGACAGCCCCTGAGCACAGTGGTGGAAATTCCACGTTCCTATGGCAGGCGGGGGGGGGGGGGGTGAGGCTAGTCTATCCATAGGACTGGCCCGCTGTCAAATTCTCCACTCTGTTTTATGCATCGTATAGTTCAGCGTCGAACTCTGACCCATGTCTAGCACGGAGCACGTTCGACCATCAAACGATCTCGATTTGAATCTTTCGTGACTGCAGGAATCCATACTCTTCGGTTCTTTCGGTAAAGTCACGTTGTTAGAAATGAAATAAAATAAAACAAATCGCGACGTTTCGATCGCGACACAAGCGGCGGGTCGTCATCGGGCATGAATCAATAATAAAAAAATCACTTGTGTTGCGATCGAAACGTCGTGAAGTGTTTTATTTAAATTTCATTCCCCGCTGGACCGGGTGTCGCATCTGTTTTATGCGTCGTATAGTTCAGCGTCGAACTCGGACCCATGTCTAGCACGGAGCACGGGTCGACCATCAAAGCGAAATCGTGACCCCGGGGCATTGCCGATGCTGTGGGGGGGACGCCTGATGCCGCATTCGGTGGCGCGTCAAAAGATTCTGCGGCCTGGGAGTGGCGCGCGGGGCCTCACGAATCCCCCAAAACCCTCGACCGCATCGTAAACACACCGCGGCGATGCTGCTGCGGTCCTTGACTCCGTTAAAGGAGGAAGGGACGAGATCCCCCACTCAGACAGTTGAGCGGAGAACAACATCATCTAAAATCGCATCTCGAATCTGCCGCTATTCACCCGTACGAAAGACGACGACAGAGAGAGAGCGGGAGGTTCTCTCTGCCTAATAAGCGTGCGCAGTTCGGACAATGATGAACGTGCTGTGTTGTAACCAGGCCACGAGTTGAGCCTGTGAAACCATTGCTACTGAATTCGTGGTGTGCCCTCTCAGAATGAAGGGGGCCGGTTTTGGCTGATGGGGGGATGTGTCGAACAAAAAATGCATCTACTCTATGAGATCTCTTACCAGTGGCAATATATAGTAGTAGGTTTTTACCCTTTTAAACTGGTACAAAACTGACACCTTTATTCAAGGCATCATGTTTGCAATAAGCACAACACAAGTAGTCAAAAAAGCAAACAAAAAGAAGCAACTCTGATAATGATAATAATATGCACTGTCCTTGAAGTTGATTGGTCCACACCCGAGACGGCTTTCTTTAGAGCCTAGTCCCCATTGGCGTTGGACCAGATGACACCAGAAGGCGTACAACTCAAACACAGTGCCATATCAGAGTATTGAGAGCACTATGAGATCTCTTTTAGCAGTGGCAAAATATAGTAGTAGGTTTTTACCCTTTTAAACTGGTACAAAAACATGATGCCTTGAATAAAGGTGTCAGTTTTGTACCAGTTTAAAAGGGTAAAAACCTACTACTAAAAAATGCATCGTTCGGAGCTGGCCACGTTTCCCCCCCCTCGTACCTTCTGAGTCGTTAATGATCTCATGTGCTATCTAGATTAGGATGTTTGCTAATTTTTTTGCAGTTGCTCGCTGTTTTCTGCACATGGATGACGGGGCGTGGGTCTGGCTAGACCCTGATCTGGCGGGTCAAGTTTGAAGTGGAAAACCTTTGTTTGTCACCGTTAATGATTGTGTTCTCTGATAGATGGCAATCGGACGAGCCTCCTTCCCCCCCATGTCATCTGTCCCCCTCCACGTGGAACACGGCAACCCCCATGATGCCCATTGGCCGCGCACACCGCTTCTGGGAGGGCAAATAATGTTGGTCAGCAAAAAGTTGTGACAAGTCTGGAGCGGTTTGGACATTAGGTGACTCCTCAAAGTCACGGGCTTGGCTTGTACCCAGTGTTGGTGAGGTGCCAGAAGGTGATGGGCAAGGATTGGTTTCCATTTTCAGTGTCACCATCAGCAGCAGAGAGTCAAGCTTTGCTTGAACCCAGTGTTGGTGAACTTCTGGATGGTTATCGGCAAGGAGCGGTTTCCACATGCAGTGTCTCATCAGCAGTAGAGACTCAAGCTTTGCTTGAACCCAGTGTTGGTGAACTTCTGGATGGTTATAGACAAGGAGCGGTTTCCACATGCAGTGTCTCATCAGCAGCAGAGAGTCAAGCTTTGCTTGAACCCAGTGTTGGTGAACTTCTGGATGGTTATAGGCATGGAGCGGTTTCCACATGCAGTGTCATCATCAGCAGCAGAGAGTCAAGCTTTGCTTGAACCCAGTGTTGGTGAACTTCTGGATGGTTATCGGCAAAGAGCGGTTTCCACATGCAGTGTCTCATCAGCAGTAGAGAGTCAAGCTTTGCTTGTACCCAGTGTTGGTGAACTTCTGGATGGTTATAGACAAGGAGTGGTTTCCACATGCAGTGTCTCAACAGCAGCAGAGAGTCAAGCTTTGCTTGAACCCAGTGTTGGTGAACTTCTGGATGGTTATAGACAAGTAGCGGTTTCCACATGCAGTGTCTCATCAGCAGCAGAGAGTCAAGCTTTGCTTGAACCCAGTCCTGGTGAACTTCTGGATGGTTATAGGCATGGAGCGGTTTCGTCATGCAGTGTCTCATCAGCAGCAGAGAGTCAAGCTTTGCTTGAACCCAGTGTTGGTGAACTTCTGGATGGTTATCGGCAAGGAGCGGTTTCGTCATGCAGTGTCTCATCAGCAGCAGAGAGTCAAGCTTTGCTTGAACCCAGTGTTGGTGAACTTCTGGGTGGTTACAGGCATGGAGCGGTTTCCACATGCAGTGTCTCATCAGCAGTAGAGAGTCAAGCTTTGCTTGAACCCAGTGTTGGTGAACTTCTGGATGGTTATAGGCAGTGAGCGGTTTCCACATGCAGTGTCTCATCAGCAGCAGAGAGTCAAGCTTTGCTTGAACCCAGTGTTGATGAACTTCTGGATGGTTATCGGCAAGGAGCGGTTTCCACATGCAGTGTCTCATCAGCAGCAGAGAGTCAAGCTTTGCTTGAACCCAGTGTTGGTGAACTTCTGGATGGTTATAGGCATGGAGCGGTTTCCACATGCAGTGTCTCATCAGCAGTAGAGAGTCAAGCTTTGCTTGAACCCAGTGTTGGTGAACTTCTGGATGGTTATCGGCAAGGAGCGGTTTCGTCATGCAGTGTCTCATCAGCAGCAGAGAGTCAAGCTTTGCTTGAACCCAGTGTTGGTGAACTTCTGGGTGGTTACAGGCATGGAGCGGTTTCCACATGCAGTGTCTCATCAGCAGTAGAGAGTCAAGCTTT